TGAAGTCAATGGGACTTTTCCTTTGCATCAAGTTAAGCACGTGCTTAAGTCTTTGCTGGATCGGGGTCTTATTGCATAATAGATTTAACTAATAGATACCAACTGACCATTTGTTGAAGAAACCGCTATTGTTGGTCATGATTTTTGGACCACGCAAAGCCAGTAACAGAAGCTGTGCAACAGGTGCATATATAGTATTTGAAATCTCTACTCACTGTGGCCATTATGAAAATGCATCTTTTCTTCTTCTGGATCTTGTTTGGCTTTGCTGTACCCACACCGCCTGGAACAGAATAAGCTCCGTTCAATCAGGCACCAGAAACCATTTCATGTAGTCAGTCGTATGAAGCACAAGAACCCAGAACAGATTTGCAGGCAGCCGACATACCTCTGTCTTGCTGCGGGAATTGTATGTCGGTTTTATGGCATCAAAGCATTCACCTTCGTCTTTTCTCTATTGTTTCAGGAGATTTTTAAATTTGCCACTTCCCAGCTGGTCTCAGTGGTAGATCTTAAAGCACTTTACAAAGGAGGCCAGACTCACTACTGCCATTTCACAAATGGGAAACTGAGGCCCAGAGTGCTGAAATGATTTGCCCAGGGTCTCCAACCCATGTGGGAACCAAGCAAGAGCCTAACCTTCCATGGTAGTGCAAGGTGACAAGGGAATAGCAGCTAACCTCCCACCGCCGGAGACTCCACCCATAACTCAGCAGGGTCAGGTGACTAACGGCAGACTGCTGATTGGACACCAACAGGTATAAAGCTTCCTGTTCCTTTCTCATCCCTTGTCTGAGCACCTAATTGCCAGACTTCTGGGACCAAGTTCCTGCCTTCTCACTTGTTATTCGCTTCTTTGTTCTCCATTTACTGGTTCTGGCTTTGGTTCTTGGTGTGACTTCTGGTAACCCTCAGGCATGCCTGTAACCCTCCAGTGTAACCCTCAGGCATGCCTTCCGACTCTGCTTCCAGGTGTGACCTATGACATGCCTGCTGGCCATGGCCCTGACTCCAGACTCTCACCACTAGACACCTGTAGGGGAACACTTTAATCTTCCTAATCATTGTTTAAAAGCTCTTCAAGTAGCTGTCTTGTCACAAACCAATTCTACTATCCAGATCATTGGAATTACAGTTCATCTGCAAATTCAATTCTCATGCTAATGGACTCAATCCTGATGAAGGATGGTTGGGACATTATCAACCTAACAGTCAATGAAGGTGAAAACAGCTCTTTGTGTAGATTCCTATGTCAGGAAGGATACTAACAATTGACTTTGATTCTTATCTGCTTCGTTTTAAGAACCCAACCTTCAGACACTGATTCCCTTTACCTTCCTGATTTTCTATACCCTCTGCTCCCTGTCTCCCACGCCCCTCCTTTTTTTCTTTCCCCTCCCCCTTGCCTCTCCTATTTATTTTGGGTCTACACATCCTAAATTCAAAACTCCTATCGTCTGAAGAAGTGGGTTGTGCCCACAAAAGCTCGTGATAGCATTGTTGTTAGTCTATAAAGTGCTATCAGACCATTTGTTGTTTTTCTCACCACTAGGTCAGACTGTCTATGTTCTGTGCCCTAACCTCCTCCATAAATGGTTATTAAACAGACTGTTTAGCTTGGGAAACATGGAGTCCTCTCCTGGTCTGAGCCAGCATGTGGCATAAGAAACAGGCTGAGTGTGGTCAGTCTAGTGAGACCCACCGCAAAGTCCGGTGTGAGATTGACGGGCAAAGAAACCAGCACTTAGAAACAGAGCAAAGCAGCAGCTGTGAGACACACCCATCCATGGGGTGTCCCACAAATTAGATGGCTATAAGGATCCAATCCACGGATACAACCAACTGGGTTCACCAGGTCCACAGTAGAACAGAGCCAGTTGGAACATGTGTGTCCCCCCCCCCCCCAAATAAAATTTAAACTCCTTGTCAAAACTTGAAACAACCAAAACTGACATTTGGATGCTTTTCAGCAAACCAAAAAGTTTTCAGATGAAAATTCCCCCAAATAAAAGCTCCAAACTGTCAAAAATGTAAAAATTATGCCGTAAATGAAATACTTTGTCATTTTCTACTAAAATATTTTCAGTTTGTGTGCTTCAGATTTTGGATCACACAAAACCTTTACATTTTGTCATGGAAATCAGGCACTTTCCACGATTTTTTTAGTGTATCAAAACACCAATTGTTCATTAAAAAAAGAGCATTTTCTACTAAGCCAATTTCTCTGAAGAGCATGAGTAACACCCTCTTCTGTTTACCTCTGAAAGCAAACAAGCTTGTCTGTCCGTCAGATTCAAATCTCTCATCTGAATCCCTCACCTGTGAATACTCTATCTTAATATTACCTCTCTCATTAAATGGGTCTCCTGAAAATGTTATTGTATGGAGATGCCTACAACAAAACTGGAAATTAAACCTTTAATTTCTCACACAGAATGAACCGAGAATACACTGATGCACAGTGGTTGATGGTTTACTGCCTAGCTTGGTATTCAGAGAGCCAGGAGAAATGTGTTATTTTTGGTTGTGGCCATCTTTGGAATTCTGTAATATATACAGCAGCATGTCACATTAGCTTATAAAATCAGGGTCTGGAACCCCCAAAAGCACCATTAAAACAAGCCTCAACTTAATACACCAAGCCAAACTGCAGCTGGTGTAGAATTGGCTTTCAAGGAACGGTTCCGCATTGCAAACAAACCATTGTAGGAAACCTGTCTATTACATATTACCTGCTTTATCTGTCACCAGTACACAGTCTTAACCAGACAAATATACATTAACCCCATTTTTGGCTTAAATCCTACTACTTCTCTTCTGGAATTTTAACTATGTTTTTGTTTTGGATATTTTTTTGTGAGAAAGGTTTCTCGGTTCGTTTGTTTGTTCCTTCCTTCCACCTTCCTATACACTCCATTTAAATTATATTTACTGTAAATTAGCAAATATAACCCGCGAGTTATACATGTTTTTACCAACCATGCCCTCCCCCCCACAGGGTAGACATGTCCGTGTCTTCTACAAGTTGATTTTTACTCCTTGGAGTCTCCCCGGGGGCATCAGTTCCTCTAAACAGCTCTTCCTGCCCCCTCACGCCCCCATTAGAAGGCAGCAGAAGTCTCTGTGGGTTATATACATCCGCGGGTAATCTAATATATTTTTTTACACGATAGAAAAACCGCAGGTAATACACAAGTGCATGTTATACATGGACACAGCTTATATTAGCTAATTTACGGTAATTTCTTCCTTCCTTCCTTCCACTCCATTTAAATGATATTTAATCCTTTCCATCCAAAAAGAAATAACTTCAGGATAATCAGTTATATGACATGTTTTTTAATATTAATCTTCTCCCAGATATGGGTTGTTATTGGCAGAAAAAAAATCCAAATACTGTGTTTATAAAAGGCATTGGGAGTGGGGCTGATGTAAATAGTACCGCACTGTTATATAATCCCGATTTTCACACACGCATTTATTTTTAACACTGATCATAAAAGATGCAAAACAGAGATGCCTTCATCACTGTAATTCGATGGAGGCGGGAGATAATGTAGATGTTGTAGGTCTTTTCTATACCACATATTGTGAAGATATAAAGATCTTGATACCTGCTTTCTCTCCACTGATCTGAAGAAATTGGATAACACACTCAATAAGTCAGTAAATGCCTAGGTCTCTGCTGATTTATGTCTGCTGAGTATCTGGACCAGTATCAGTAGCATAAAAGCAATGTCCCCAAGCAACATTTTGTCCGTAAGTCCGAAGAGGAAGACCGCAATCATAACTCGCGCTGTTTTTTAATAAAAAGTAGAAGGGGCGGAAAGACATTTCGATTTTAAATATTCTCATGGCATCGTGTCTGATGTAAAACCTCCTTCCACCCTGGCAAGCAGCTCATCAAATATTTATGGGGCAGATCATAAAAGGGAGGTTGTAAAATGGCCCTTTGACAGGTTTAGAACATAGAAAGTGGAAGGGAAGAAAGATGAAGAGTACGATTGGCTAACGGTAGGGCTGAACCACTGAATGTTGCCTAGTGTAATAGAATTCGCTCCCCAAGAGGAAAGAGAGATTATCCGATGTCAGGAAATGAGGTGAAGAAACCCTGGACTTCCTGGATGGAAGAGGACATCCAATCACTGGCCTTGCCCTTCAGGTTCATGCACATCTTCACCTGGCTGTGTGCGGTGGGTTATGTGATACCCCACAGGCCTTCAGCCTGCCAGAGGAGCCCTGGTGAACAAAGCTAGGGTGTGAGTGAAGGAATGCTTGAGTTGTCACGTTGGCCCCTCCACACTGGCCGGAATCTAACCTGTAATGCCCGGGCTCCTTTGGGCTTCGCAGAAACAGCATGCGACACTCCCATGCTTCAGGTGATGTGCTGTCCTGAGCTGTGTCCTGTGTCCACGTTTCTCCGTCTCCAGGGATTTGTACGACTGTCTCAGGGGAGTTAGACACCCCATGCTGCTCCCCCTCCCCACCACGGAAAGGATAAAAGGAGCACCCAGCAGGCTGAGAAGGCCTCTGAGTCCACCAAAAGGCAGCCCCCAAAGCACCTGTCCCCAGCCAGCAGCGGACGTGAGTGTGGTACTCAGGGTGACGCTGAATGCTGGTCACTGCAGCATTAGGTCCCATTTGAAAATTCAGGGTATCGCTTGTCCGTAAAAGCCAATGTTATTTCCGGGTGTGCAGTGTTCCAAGCGTTCTTCTCTTAGGGCAGTTGAAGATCAGGACACTACTGTGAGGCACTAGGCACTATAAAACGACAGTTCCTGTCCCAATGACCATATAGTCTATGACCTTGAGCTGGCCAAGACTTGTGGGCCAACTTAACTTTCGGCACTGACTGGGACTCAATGGCAAAACCCCCACAGGGACAGAATTTCGCTCTGTCAGCAGTCCCAGTGACGTCAGTGTGGAAGGCCGTGGTGTCCAATATGGTAGCCACTAGCTATATGCGGCTATTTGGCCCGTTGAGCGTGGCTAATTTAC